AAAGGAGTAATTAATGGTTAGGCATTAAAAATTAATTAAACGACACAAAAAATATTTACAAACACTTTCGGTAAAGTTGTGTCAAGTAAAATCGAAAAACGACGATTTTAACAACTAAAATTTTAATTGATTTGAATTGCTTCTCACCTGTGACCGTTATGTTTGTAAAGGGATTAGCTGGAAAAGAACAAGCAATCATTAGAGATATTTGCATGGTAAAAAGGCAACAACATACTAACTAACGACGATTTTAACAACTAAAATTCTAATTTTTTAATTTCAACAAGGTTGCTCCTCACCTGTGACCGTAATGTTTGTAACGAGATAACCTGAAAAAGAGAAAGCAGTCATTCACAAGATAAGAATTTCTAGAAGAAACAATAGCTTTGGCAAGAAGCAAACAGCTGTGGTAAGGGTAGTTTTGTCTAAGAAAAGATGACAAAAGAAACGAGTTTGTCTCGCATTTTAATAGTACCCTTTGCTAAGGGTACAGATGGAAACACTCATTGAATATACGTGTATTTAGGCAAGTATTGGTAGGTCAAAATTAAGGTTACGAGCATGAGAAATAGCGATTTATAATAAAGGTATTGATAAATACCATAATTTCTGTTGTAAGCACGCCATTTCTAACAGTTTAAAATTTATTTAATTTCAAAATAAAAAAAGTTCTCTCTCACCTGTGGACGTAACGTTTGTGAAGGAGGCAGCTAGAAAAAGATTGAGAAATCACTAAACATATTCGCAAGGCACAAAGGATAACGCATTATTTAATTACGAGATTAGTATTTCTTGAAATAATTATAACTTCAGCATAAAGCAAACAATTTTGGTAAAGGTAATTTAACTTAGAAAACAGAAAACAATTAACGAGTTTGTCTTGTACATTTGCAGCACTTACCTAATCAAGTATTGGCATGTTAAATAAATAGAAATAACAGAAGTTCTCTTGGGCGAATACTTGTTTTAATTTTTTTTATGTCGAAAGTTGAAGTAGCTCTTCTGCAACCTCAGCGAACGTGCAAGTGATCTCTGCATTAAGTCTGATAAATATGTAAGTAACTAATATCTGCATCGTAAGCAGGACCTCACATGCGCAGTTATGGATTCGAATTGTTGATAATGTTTCTCTTGAGTGGCGAAGCCAAACATCGATAGATATTATTACCAATGAAAGATAAAAAAATTTGCATTTATGCGCAGTGCGTGAAAGTAACACTAAAAACTTACTCGACAATAAAGAACAAAATTATTTGCAAACCCTTTTCGAAAAAGGTATGTCAAGAACAATAGAAAATCGACGGTTATAATCACTGAGTTAATTGATTAGAAAATAAATGGGGTTTTGTCTCTCACCTGTGGCTGAGAAGTTTGTAAAGGGAACCGAAGCTGCAAAAGAGTAAGCAATAATTAGACATATTTGTATGAAACCCAATAAAATATTGAACTACGAGATTATAATTTCGTGAAATAAAAAAAAATTATATTGAAAAAGTATTGAATATACACGAATTAGCATTTTGAAGGGAAAGTAACGCACATGAAAAATTATGATTTATCTTAGAATATGAGAATTTCACTTGTTGCGAAAACAAGATATCTTCACCGCTTGTAGGAAAAGTATCATTGATATTGTTACATAGGAGGCTACCAATTTCGTCATGGTAATAATCATGATAACTTTTCAACATTTTTTTCTAAGAACATCACCAAGATTGAACTCAATTTTTCTTTGGAAGAATAGTTTTCGCACGACACCTTGTTAAATTTATTGTTCCAGAGGTCAGAGTAGCTCTAATGTAACCTCAGTGACTATGCAAGTGAATTTCAGTCAGACATAAATGTGGGTCACTGATAACTACATTAACTCAGCCTTGGCCGGTCCCAAGCCTGGATGGAGGAGGGCAAGAGGCTGAAAACTACGACATAGATATCCTTGAAATAAGTGAAGCCTGATGGAGAAGAACAGGGAAAGGGAAATTAATTTTAGGCCACATCATACTCTATTTGGGCAGAGAAGATGACTGGCACACGAAAGCAGTCGCCATGATCATAAGTAGGAAAGTAGAAAAACACTCATTGAATGCCAGCAAACATGACCAAGATTGCATAATGCTCGCTACAACTCAAAGTACACCAAACTGAAAGCGAGGTATAGAAAAAGAAGATCCCCTACTGTGAACACTTTCGGGCAGCGACAGAAGAAGTACCAACATATGACATGCTTTTAATTGTTTGTGACCTGAACGACAGACAAGAAGACAACACAGGCAGAGACCCGGGATCGGGGTACACGGTGTAAGAACAATGAATGACAATGGGGAAGGACTGGATGACTTTTATGAAGAGATCAAACCTAGAAGTAGCAGGCGCCCTTTTTCACCGCAAGAACAATCACACGTTTACGTGGACATCGCCATTTTCTTGGTCAAACTGCTTAAGACCAGAATGCAGCTAGAAAGCTGATGTCAGTATCAGCAAAAGTCCAACGACGGATTTAGCAACAATGACGTGTTAGTGAAATACCAGAAGAGAAACGCCATCTTGTTAAGGAGAAGGAGAAACTCACAAAGTGGAAGGAGAACTTTGATAGCCCCCTGAATAGATGTGAACCATTGGAAATAGATGAAATCCCTATGGCAGACGAATACTTGGACATATTGGCCAAACCACTTACCCTAGTAGAGACACATAGGGGCACGAAGAGGAGAGATCTTAACTAAGCTAATATACACGCTATAAAATTGTAAACAGAAAATCATATGTGCTTTTGTTTCATTATAATTAAGGTTCTCGCGATAATAACGTCTCTCACAAGCGAGCAAGCCGAGCATGCAAAAGATATTATCAACACTCAAAGAAAATATGTGCATCCACGCGAGTAATATAATAAAACATCCTTTATACGCTTGAATGTGTGTAACCCATTTAGCTTGAAAAACCCCCTAGTTTTGATAATAGCTTATCTGTACACAGTACAGAGTTATGAGATAAGTTTGTAATTTCCCACAAACGGCAAAATAGTATCTAGTTGTGAGGTAGCACAGGCCTTACTTGGATTCAAATCAAGTTCACGGCTCACTGTGAATGACCCAAGCTTTCCATCTTTGATTTCATCTTCGAGTGGTTTCAAAGGATCAAGAACAGATCTTTCAAACTTGAGCTCTACTTCAGCAACAACACTACCGGAGCTATACCTAGGAAAAAACTCACTGTTCAAAGTTTTTTGCATAATAGCAAATGGTTAATACTTATTGATCTTGTCCATCAACGTCACTCTACTGAATATTAATTTTTCAAAAACTAAACATGATAGATACCTAAAAATGTTTGAATACATGTCGATCACCTCTATACTGTAACTAAATCCTGAAATAACAGCAGAGGACCATTTCCTTTTCTCAAAACATTTTTTTCACAAATGCCTACACTGAGCACTCCTGTGAATCTTGACACTTACCTTAAATCAACAAGACCCACTGTGTACAGTTGTTTTCCAGGATTTTTTGTGTAGACAGAAGAAATCTTAAACAATTATAAGAACAACAGTTATATTAAATGCTAAAAATTACTTAAACATACAATTTAAATGTTCACGCAGAGTGAGAAAGCCTTGATCTCATCTGCTCATATGAGTACATAGTTTTAGGCTCTTCAGCACTTCTCCAATTAGACGGGTAAAATTTACAAATTTCTAATGTAAATCTACTCCCTTAATCTGTAATAAATTCAAGGCTATTGGGATCTGATCTCTGAATGTCATTAGACATGAACAGAGGACAAGAGAAAAATCAAATTGAAAAACTCAAAGATTTATTCCATGTGACCCTGCTTTGGAAGTAATGAAAGTGTACAGGTATCCTATTGTGGCAGTTAAAAACAGTATCTCTCCTCACGTTTTACTTGTAACTATCAAATGTACGAAACCCAAAATTGAAATCCAAGTATCTAAATTTAATTTTAAGTTAGATGTACTTTGCCTTAAAAGAAGAGCATCAAGTCTACTAGTTCCCACAGGTTTGTCAGCTAATTTATTACAGTTCAAAAGTCTACTCTTCTTGTAACTCATAGTCAAGGAAAACTCTTTACTGAATGCTGAATGAAGAGCAGAGCTATGAAAAGAAATTTTTTTCAATCATTACTACAAAGATTAATGCCGCCATCTTAAATGGATAAAAAGATGCTAATAAGTCAGCCAGTAGTGGAAGAGAGGAATTACAAGGCATTTTATACTCAAACATCTATAATTTGCAAATCACCACTCAAAGGTGAACAGATTAGATAAAAGGAGGTTTCTACTTAATAAAGGCAACATGATACTTACTTCTGATAAAAACTTTGACTCCAATATTTTGAACTCAATTGACTCTCTGTTATTAAAGGCTGAGGTCCAAACTTCACTCAGTAATGTTATTCCAATGCTCCTATTTAAACAATCATTACCTAAAGTGAGATGAACAAAAATTAGCATGCATTAATAGATATTATTAGTTAAATGTTGTTGACCATTGCTGATATTGAACATATTGCATGGCCACCCCTGGCAATAAAGTAAAAAAAAAAACTACGGCATGTTTTGGAAAAGGTGAAATTGCTGTTTTTTATTGAACTTCACACTTTGACCTCAAGGTTAATCATATATAGGAAACAATTGGATATTCAGTTCGCCCTTTGAGATGGGGTTAAACTGCAACTTAACATTGGCTTCATGCAAAGGCAGGAGTAAGGAAAAAAGAAAAAACTTGCCTCTCTCAGCAACGTCAAACATGCAAATCAGTTTATCATTATTACAAATCAAAAAGAAAGTAGTGTCTCAAATTGTGACCTGCTGGTTGCCAAAGCCACTGAAAATGGACTGTTGGCAACAAGACTTTCAATAACATACAGTTGCCACTTTTATTCATTTATTTATTTATTTTTTTGCTTTAACCATTTTATACCCTCAACTGGTGACTTTTTTATGAGTTGAAGAATGTTGTGAAGAGAACATTTTTCAAACCCTACTTGTTTGGTCAGCAAATTGTTAAAATTAGCCATTTAAAAAAAGCTTATCGACTGATAATTCACGCCCATATAACAAACCTAGCTTTGATCTCTGTTAAAGTAAGTGCATAAATACTAAAAAAACAAAACTGTTTCACAGAGACAGACACCTTTATGCTTGGCACTAAGACAATCTAACAAAAATATAGTATTGACATCTTAACAGGAGAG